AATGAGGCAGGGGCCAGAGTATGACCTTGCAGTTGGGAGGTCAGTTAGGACCCTGGGGTTTCCTATAAGCCGTGTCTCCCAGAGATTGGGGAGTGCACAGCCAGCTTGGCTGCTGACTCCAGCTTCCCACAACTGCAGATGCTGGGAGACAGCAATGGTTGCTGGGTTCTTGCCACTCACAGGGAGACTTAGACTGAGTTCCCTGCTGTCCACTGAGGCGTCAGCCCCGGTAAAGGACCATTACCAGCATTGGGGGAGAGAACTGCTCGCTCTCGCTCTGCCTCTCAAATAAATAGGGAATAAATACATAAGACTGTCATGAACCAGTTTAGTAAATTACTTTTTAAAATGAATGAGGAAAATCCAAAAGTCATATTCAGCAGAGCCTCATTTATTAAGCTTATCAGGAGATAAGGGATCTACATAAATTAAATTTTGAACACAGTTTAAAGGGCCACAGCCTCAATCAATTTTCAGAGATCTTCAACTGATATTAACAACAGCTATTTTACATTGTGACAATTGTGACTTGGCTCTCCCAAAACAGCAAGTTATCAGTTAATACTTCCCACTGTGCTCACTCCTTTTCTAAAGATTAGGAAATGAGAAACTAAGCATATTCTGTAAAATGAGTTAATAAAAACTCAAGTGAACCTCCAAGGGCAATGCAGGAGTTCTGTGATCATCTTTCTAGCATTTTTTTTTAAACTAGAACGCAGAAGGCAGGTAAAGTATCACTAACTGCTAGCCAGGCTGTTCCAAGGGATGGGATACTTTGTAGAAAACAAAGAAAAGAGCTCCTGCCCTCCAATCTCTTCCCGCTTAGTTTTCCAGATCCCAGGCAAGGTTCGTGATTACGGAGGATGTAAAAGTACAGTACCTGGTAACTCTGGGAAAGTAATTGCTCAGGTTCCTTAGTTTTCTGACTAAGAAGGGTCCTTGACTATTCAGGATCAGAATCATAAGAAATAAAATGTTAAAGAACTTTTAAATATTTTCAAAATACAAGCTACAACTAATGTGCAGATAGTCACATATATTTAAATTCCATATCATCTCAATGTCTCCAAATCCTTAGCACCTTAATACAAAGGGATTTAAATAAAGTGACAGACATTTGATTTCCAGAGCTTGCTTATCAAAAGATTCCAGGCCAATCTCCTTGCGCAGTTTGGCCAGGTCCCTGTGCTGAGCAGGGCAGCCACCACTACCCACATCTGCATATTCCAAGCTGCCTGAAACTGCTCATCTAATCCTCTGCCAGCATCGGAGCCCCAGCTCCTCCTCCTGGGTACTGTTTTGCCCCCCCCACTTGTCTGTGGTATTTCTCATAATCTTTCCATTTCAGATCATCCCAATCTTAGACCCCAATCAAGACGACAGAAATGAAACAACGGAAAAGTGCTACTCCCACTGTTGCAGCCAGGTTGAGATATAATGGAATTAAAACCTTGTAGTATAATTTAATTTATGAACTACAGATACTTTACATATTATCAGCAACTTTTTTTCAAAGCACTTATAAAAAGGTAAAAAGCTGTCTTCTAAAGTATGTTGATAAAAAGAAACCTTTGTTTTGATCTATTTATATCACAAAAACCATGTTGTTTTAGAAAATTCAGACATTCTTTAAGAACTTTTAGCATGTAACTCATAGAGCAAAACAGCATAAACTATACCTATTTTTCAAAATGCAGTAAGTTGGTAGATACATATTTACAGTTCCTTTTAAACTTTGTGAAAAGAATTTTCCTTACAGGGAAAATTACAGAAGCGGAATAAATTTTTATTTCTGTCAAGACACAAGATCACATTAAAACATTTACCCAAATGTGACGTGTTACCAAAACTGAAGACGCACTACTCAGTGCTGACATAATTAGGGATCTGGGTCGTGCCTACTTAACTATGCAGTGTTGGGAAATCTCTTCACTCCTTTGGATTTAATAACTGTATGCAAATCTTATAATATCCCTAGCTGAAGACAAGGCTTCTTTCCACCATGGGGGTTGGGGTAGGGGGTGAGGAGGGGAGGGCCAGAGAGAGGTTATTTCTGCCAAATGTGACTGGTTTAAATTAAAATATATTCTTTGGGACCCTCATAGCAGATGAGATCTTGATCATTTTTACCCACTTTTGAAAGTGCTGCAAAAGCACACATTCTTTGAGACAATTCACTAAAGAGGATTTGACTGTCAGAATTTTATCAGTGACATTTGGAGAAAAGCTATTCCATGCAACCAAGAGAAAAATTAAACAACACAGTATATTCAGTAGATAACTTGCTCATCTAAAGAACATGTTCAGCATTCCATTTGATTCTTTAAAGATTTAAAACTTAAGCACCCTGTATTAGACTTAAGGGGGGAAAAACCCAAACAGAAGTTCTGAATCACTGGAATTTTTGTTATATTTCCTGTTAACACATTGGTAGTATCATCATTCAACATGTTCATTCCACACACGCTTTTTAAAAAGCTATAGGATCCTTCTTCTCTGAACTGGGCCCTATTTTAGTCTATCGCTCACTCATTTATCTGAGAAGTCTTGCCTGTTCCTTTTAATTACAGTGCTCAGCCAAAGCACACAAGAAGATGAAAGGCAAGTTTTCTTTTATTAGAAACTAAGTGGTTTCACAATTTTAAGTTTCAAACTGTCAAGGTTTAAAATCAATCACGATTTCACTGTGAACAAAGACTGTAAAGCAAAGGTGTCAACACTACTACTGTGGTGAGCAGCAGTGGTGTAAAAACTGAAAGCAAAAAGCCTACTCCGTGCCCACCAAAATTCCCAGCCAAGTCTGAAACTGCATAATGAGCAACACCTTCTTGTGAGCGTGCTTCAGCAGAGCCAATCCCTTTTACAAAAAGCGAATCAACCTGACCCCAGCATCTGACAGTTTACAAACTTACCTAAAACAGACAAAATGGATGCAAAATTCTACTGCCTGACCGTTGCCTCGAATACGACCTTAGTGTTCAAGAACTTTCCAACGAGTAAAAGCACGGAACAGCCCCAGGTCTGGGGACCTGAATTTCCTGAACGACCGAGAATCCCCTGTTTGGCTGCAAATCCCCTCAGCTCTCCTGGAAACCCCGCTTATCAGAAGCATTTGAAGAATTTCTCCGCAACAATTAAGCGGACTTGAAGAATGGACACGTAACATCTCAAATAGACTATATATGGAATGAAACACGGCCAAACACATAAATACAAACTCCCAGAGTCGCTGACACTCTGGCAGACAGCTCTGCCTCCACAATCGCACAGCATCAGCAACAGGAAGATCCACCTGTCACCTGCTCCGCCGTGCGGGGGAGACCCCGCCGGCCTCCCCGCCTCCGCCACCCTCGCGGGATCTGGGGTGGAAGGGACACAAGCCCACAGTTCTCCAGAGAACGCCGAGAAGCCGCAGGCTGATAGCGGGGCTCGCTCCCCGCTTCCGAGGAGACGGCGGAAAGCAAAGCCGGCTCTCCCCCTCGCCCCCAGTCACCCTCCTCTGTCTCCCCCCCCAACGCCCCCGCCCCTAAGTCACCCCTAATCCACACATCGACTCCCCCAAAGGAGTTCTGCCTGCTCCCCCCCCCCCGCCCCACGACTCACACATGCCCGGGGGCGGGCCGGGAGCACGGCTGCAGGCAGGGGCCCTTCCCACCCCAGGTACCCCCCAGGGGGGCGCTCCCCGCCCAGCGACTCCAGTGACCCTCCCCCTCCCCCTCCCCACGGACGCCCCGCAGCCCCGGCCGGCCCGATGCTCCCCACCCCCACTCGGTCTGGAGGACTTGGGGGGCCTCCCTCCCCGCCTGGCCACTGCGGAGAGGACAGAGGCGGAGGCAGGGCGAGAGCGAGGGAGACGCGGACGCCCCCGAGGGCCTCCCGCGTCGGCAGAGCCCCTTCCAGCCGCAGCGGGGGTGCGGGGCAAGGAGGGGAGCGCCGAGCCGGGGATCCCGCCGAGGCCCGGCAGCGCTGTCCGCTTACCCTTCGTCGCCGCCGCTTCCCCCTCCTCCTCCTCGGCCGCCGCCGCCGCCGCCGCCTCTCCCACTAGGGCAGCCGTCTCCACCGTCGCCGCTGCCTTCTCCGCCACCCCGGCCGCCGCCAGCGCCGCCGCCGCCTCCGATTCCACCCGGCAGGGGGGACACCTCAGCCCTCCCTCCCTCCCCGCTCAGCCCCCTCCGATCGGCCGCCGCCGCCAACTCCCTCCGGCCGCCGCCGCCGCCGCCGCCGCCGCCGCTCGTGGCTGAGGGGGAGGGGAGGGGAGGGGGTCGGGCTGGGTCGCCCCGCCGGCGGCTGCTGCAGATCAAAAACCACGGCTGGGCGGCGTCGCCGCTCCCCGATCCCGGGCTCCGGCTCGCTCGGCCTCCCTACCTCCCTCTGCCCCCACCCCCTCGCGCTCGCTGCCCTCCCCCCACCCCCCCAGCTCTCGCTCGCTCTGGCCGCGGCTCCGCCAGCCCAGTCCAAATCAAAATACTGTCACACAATATGGCGGCGCGGCGGCCGGCAAACACCGCGAGATCTGCGGCCCTGCTGAGGCGGCGGCTGTGACGAGGCTTCCCTCAGCCGGGCGGCGGCGACGGCGGCGGCGGCGGCGCGGGGATGCTCTTCCTCCGCCCCGCACCCCTCTCCGACGCCCGCACTCCGCCCGCGGGGCTTGCGGGAGCTGCACTGGGGACGGCGGCCCCGCGGCAGCGTGAGGGGACGCCGGGGCCCAAGCGGCCAGCGGGGCCACCTTTTCCGGCCGGCCGCTCATCCCGGGGGCGGGGAACAAGGGGCTTCTACGTGCGGCTCCCCCCCAGCCCCGGGGAGCCGACGGCACTCGGGGCTGAAGGAAGACAGGAGCTGGAGCCCGGGGCTCCGCCGCGGCTCGCCGCTCGGGAAGCGGGTGGCGGGACGTGCGGGGCGGCGGGCGCGGGCGGCCCCGCGGCGGCGGCGGGGAGCAGGTGGGCTCGGGCCGCGGCGGGCGCCGGGCGCTGCGGCCGGACACACCCCCTGGGAGCCCGGCCGCGCGGAGGCCGCCCGCTCGCCGGAGGGACCCGCGCGGACGCCGCGGCCGTGCCCGGCCCGGGTGTGCGGGAGGCGTCCTGGGAGCCGCGGGACGCGCGCCGCGCGCTCAGGCGCTGCCTCTCCCGGAATGGTCGGGGATGCGGGAGAGAAGAGCGAAAGGCTGCGAGGGTTTTGTTGTTTCGGTCGTAGTTTAATTGCACGTTTCCTAGAAGTCCTGGAAGCGGAGCCAAAGACGATTCCGCTTTGAGGGGAGAGGATGAGACTTCAGTTTCTATCTTCTTAAAGAAGTATTTAAGTGTCCTCTGGGGCGGGGAGGCAGGGCGGGGAGCGTGTGAATACTCAGTTATTTCTCACAATCTGAAAGACTTACTTAAAAATTCTAGTGCGTTCGTGGTGTCCAACGTACTTCATTTTTCTGTCCCTGTCCAAAATGCTCATATCGCTGCCAGTTTCTTCCTTGCAACTATTCTTACTCTGAGAAAAGTTCTCAAGGACCATTTTTATTCTTCTCCTTCCAGTATGAGCGCTGTAAGTTACAGTGAGGCGAGGTAGTTTTTTTTTTTTTTTAATATCTTTTCAGAATTAAAATCTTTGCTACAGTGAAGGTACTTTCCCCACTTTTTTTCCTTACTTGTCCTATGAAAATACCTGAAATCCTGAAATATTACATCAATTCAAAACTTGTACCACTTTTAAGAGCCAAAAATGCTTATGATTTATAATATTAGAATTTCTGTATTTCTCCCCATTGGCAATATCATGCACAGAAAAAGTAAATTAGCACTTTAAAAATAGAAAGATTCCCAAGGTTTAATGTATTCACAGAACCACAATGCGTTTCAGCAGTTCTCTCTCAGGAATTATTTCCATACTCAATGGTAAAATAATCGATAACATGATATTTGGTAAATTAAATCTGTTACTGTAAATTTCTCTTGTCTTTGAAACCACTAAAGCACAAGTTGCTTTTGAAATGGTACAATTCTTTTTTTTTTTTTAATTTGCTTATTTATTTGAAAGGTAGTTGCACACAGAGAGAGACAAAGAAATCTTTCATCTAATGTTTCACTCCCCAAATGGCTGCAATGGCCAGGGCTGCACTAGGCCAAAGCCAGGAGTTTCAACTGGGTCTTTTATGAGTTCAGGGGCCCAAGGACTAGGCCATCTTCTTCTCTTTTCCCAGAGAGATTAGCAGGGACTGGAAGCCACACCCATAAGGAATGCCCTGCTGCAGGCTGCAGCTTAACCTGCCCTGCTGCAATCCAGGTCCCTGAAACGGTAGAATTCTGTATTTTGTGCAGAATCGTTGTCTCCCAGAAAACTATGAAATAAGCTTACTTTAACAGAAATATGGTGCTTTATATACCTGTGAATATGAGAGGTGTGGATAGGTTGAGTCTAAGAGCCAGCAGGGGACAGATGTGTTATCTTGCATTCTTACACCCACATGGACCACCTAGGTCTAATCAAGAGAAAGCATCAGGCAAACCTGAGTACAGGGAAATTGTAGTCTGTATTCTTGTAGTCAATGTCACTAAGAAGACTGAAGAGTCAAGGAAATTAAAGAGACATGACAACTAAATACAGTGTGTGAACTTCAACTGGACCCCTTACTGAAAGAGCGAAATGTTGCAAAGAACATTATTGAGATATTTGATCAAATTGAATATGCGCTATAGATTAGGTAAAATATTATATCAATGTCAAGTTACCAGAATATGTTATGTATGGGAATATCCTTGTTCTTAAGAAACACAGTATTATTAAGGTGTAAACAGACATAATGTGTGATTTTCTCCCAAATAGTTAAGAAAAAAATATATTTTAAATGCATACTCATATACACATCTCTCACATCTGTCTAACATATACAGAGAGAGAGGGAGATTGGTAAAATTTAAAACCAGGTGAATCAGAGGTTGTTTTTTTTTTTTTTACAAAATATGTTCTTAATTTGGTGAATCTTTACTTTCTGTAGAGTTCTTTTAATTTTTTTGGTAAGTTTGAAGTTACTGCAAAATAATTATTTTTTATTTGTTTGAAAGAGTTAGAGAGAGCAAGGGGGAAAGAGAGAGATCTTCCGTCTGCAGCTTCATTCCCCAAATGGCCGCAATGGCTGGGGCTGGACCAGGCCAAAGGCAGGAAGTCCATCTGTGTTTGCCACAGGGGTGTCCGGAGTCCATGTACTTGGGCCATCTTCCGCAGCTTTCTCAGGTGTGTTAGCAGGGAGCGGGATAGAAGTGGAGCAGTGGGGACTTGGCCTGTGCTCATATGGGATGCGGGAGCCCCAGGGGTGGTTTAACCAGCTGAACCACAAATTTGGCCTCATAAACAGTTTAAAAAAAACAGAGCTTTAAAATTTAGGGAGTTCCTTTATCTCACTAAGAGGAGGAATGTGATGGAATAGAGAGATAAATAGATAGCTGACCCCTTTTACCATGGAACCTGCCATCGGTTCCTCAGTAACCGATTGGAGTTTTGGTCACTTAGCTATTTCTTCCTTATTTCATCTATTTGAATTGGGTGCAGACACAGCCAGGATTCTTTACTTATGTATTTGGGAAATGATTTCTCTGTTGAGTCAGTAAGTATTCAGTGTCTGTTACCCACAAGACTGTGGGGAAAACAAGAATAAAACAAACTGGACCTTGCAGGTGGTTACAGGGGGGAGGGGAGAAGATAAGATCTCTCAACTGTATTCAAGAGCCTTTTCCTCTACTACTGTGCTGATACAGCAGCCACAGCTACCCCTGACTATTTAAAGTTAAAATTAAAATGCAGGCCTCAGATGCACTGAATGTGGCATTCACATTTCAGCTGCTCAAGAAACTCCAGAAAGTTCTATGGAATTGTGCCAGTAGTAGAGAAGATGCTATGTAAATAACATCAATGCAAGGTAGACTGGTAAATGCCATAGAAACTTAGGAGAGGAAAGGTTACTTTGCCTGGGTTGGAAGCCAGGGAAATAGCAGGGAAAGTTTCAAGAAGATTGGATATAGGTGGGTGGTGATGAAGCAAGAGGATTCCAGATGGAAAACAAAAGCAGGCAAGGGAGAGAGGCATTTGCAAGAGTCAGTACTTAATTCTACTCTGTGTAGCTATAACACAAGACATGTAGGGAAGGGTGAGAACCTATGAAATCGCAAAGGCTGAGCTGCTAAACCTAGATTGGTCTCTAGGAATTAGGACAAAATCAAGTAGTTTTTTTATTTAAGATTTATTTTATTTATTTGAAACTCAGAGTTACACAGAGAGAGGAGAGGCAGAGAGAGAGAGAGGTCTTCCATCTGTTGGTTCACCCCCAGATGGCCACAACTGCCGGAACTGCGCCGATCTGAAGCCAGGAGCCAGGAGCTTCCTCCGGGTCTCCCATGTGGGCACAGGGGCCCAACGACCCGGGCCATCTTCTACTGCTTTCCCAGGCCATAGCAGAGAGCTGGATTGGAAGAGGAGCTGCCGGGACTAGAACCAGCACCCATATGGAATGCCGGTGATTCAGGCCAGGGCCCCAACCCACTGCGCCACAGCGCCGGCCCCAACCAAGTAGTTTTTAAAAAAGGATAATCTGGCAGCAGATTATGAAATGGATCAGATGTGAAGGTGTCACAACCAGATAACGTAGCAATAGCCCAAATTAGAGAGAAGGAGTTGATGTAAGGTGGTCTGTCAATAAGGGTGTTTTCAATGTCATGATACAAACTCTAAATGGCTTTTATCTATCTACAAACCCAGAAATTCCAAAGCAGAATAAACTTTAGGTTTGAAAGATTCAGAAGCTCAATAATAGCCTCAAGGACCAGGTTCTTGGCATTTCTGTTCTACTACTATGGTTGTTGGCATCATTCAGTGGCTAACAGCAAGGTGGGAATGGTAGTTGTAGGAATCCAGACCATAATATCCAGAGGAAGAAGAGTGATTGTCTTCAGAGAGGGCTAATGTTTCCCAGAGCTGCTCCCTCTAAGCCTGGACTGGCTTCCCTTTTGATCTCCTTGGCCACGGATGAATCCCATGTCTGTTCTTGGTCCACAGGGTGGAACAAGAGCTAGAGTCAAAGTTGACGCTGAGGGTTTGAGCCGGATGACTAAGGAACGTATGAAGAGAACTTGTGAGCGGGCAGATGATTGTTGTAGTGGTCCTTCTTAATTTGAGAAACTGCAGAGATGTCCAGCCGGAGATGGCCAGCAGGAGAAAACAGGCTGGGGCTCAGAATGAAGATGGAAGTTGGGGATACACATTGGAAGTCATCTGCGGAAACATAGTAAGTGAAACCCCAAGATTGGCAAAGGAGAGGAGAGGTGAGTGAGGGTCTGCCTGGAAGAAGAGGTGGGTGGGAACAGGGAATGCATAATCAGACAGGAAAGTAAACCTGTGTGATGTACCATTGCAGAAATCAAGGGCAAGAGATGGAGTTTCAAGAAGGTTAACAGTGGGGCTGGCATTGGGGCACAGTGGGTTACACTGCTGCTGTGACCTTAGAGTGCTGATTTGAGTCCTGGATACTACATTTCTGATTCATTCTCTCTCTCTCTCTCTCTCTCTCTTCCCCTCTCTCTGATTCTCCTTTCAAATAAATCTTTTTAAAAAAATTAAGAAGGCTAAGAGTGTTTTGTTATGGAGAGATTCAGGATGATACAGAAACATTGGATTAATAACTGGAAGGTCACTGTGACCTTGAAGAGAATTATTGCTTTAGCCAAGTAGGAACATACACATTTCATTAGTTAAGAAGTGAGCAGATAAGTAGGTAGAAATAAGAGAATACTTCAAGAAATTCATGGAAACATGAAATTAAAAGATAAGTTTATTTTGGCATAAAAATTGTTTTAAATCTGTTCACAGTTTCTTTTATTAATATATAGCTTTTCATGAAGTTTTTGTAGCTCCTTTGTATGCATGGATTTCACATTAATTTTTTGCATCAAAACACCACAAACTTTTTGAAGTCACCTCATGTGAAATAGAGACTATGCTTTCAAAAAGTTCTGTAGTCATGAAAGGAAAAGCTGTGGCCAGTGCTGTGGCATAGCGGATAAAGCCGCTGCCTGCGGTGCTGGCATCCCATATGGGCGCCAGTTTGAGTCCTGGATGCTCCTCTTCTGATCCAGCTCTCTGCTGTGGCCTGGGAGAGCAGTACAAGATGCCCCAAGTCCTTGGGCCCTTGCACCCACGTGGGAGACCAGGAAGAAGCTCCTGGCTTCAGCTCGGCGCAGCTCCGGCCATTGTGACCATCTGAGGAGTGAACAAATGGAAGGAAGGCCTTTCTCCCTGTCTTTCCCTCTCACTGTCTGTAACTCTACCTCTCAAATAAATAAAATATTTTAGAAAGAAAGTACGGAAGGAAGAAACCAGGTAGAGTTAAAGTCATTTGCTGGAGAATTCCTCCTGTTTGGGAAGGGTTGGTCTCTGTTCTTTTTAGGTCTTCAACTGACTAGGTGAGACCCATGCACATTATGGAGAGCCACCCGCTTGATTCCAGTTCCATCACTTCAAATGTTAATCTCATCTGAAAACACCCTCACAGAAGCTTCAGAACCACGTTGGACCACCAGGCACTGTGAGCAGCCAAGGAGAGCTGGGCCATAGAGTAGGTATTGCCAAAGAGTTTTCCAAGGTGATCCAACCATTGAGGCCGCCATCTGCACAGCTCTGAGAGCTCAGGTTGCTCTGTGTCTGTCTTTGTGGACTCTTAGCAATATCAGTCTTTTTAGCCATTTAGTTGTGTTTATATGATGTGTCATTTTGACTTTAATTTTCATTTTCTGGTTAAGAAGTTGTGCTGAACATGTTTTCCATGTATTTATTGGCCGGTTGGAAATTTTCTTTGTAGAGTACCTGTTCAAAATTATTTGCCATTTTAAAAATGAAATTGTTTGATTTTTATTGACTTATGGAAATTTTTTTACAATTCTGGATATGAATCCATTACCAGGTATGAGTATTGAAATAAATTCTCTCTTCCCTATCTACTTTCCTGATAATATCTTTTAATTAGTATCAGCTCTTTAAAACTTTTTTCCCATTTAAGTCTATGATGCATATTGAATTAATTATTGTATATGGAGCGAGGTAGGAGTGTCTTTTTTCCATATGAGTAGCCAATTGCACCATTTGTTCAAAATATTATCCTTTCCTCACTGAACTGCAGCAGTGACTTTGTCGTAAATCAAGTTCTATTTCTGAATTCTCTATTATGTTTCTTTGGTGCCAATGCCACACTGTCTTAATTACTGAGCTTTACAATACGTTTTGAAATTGGGTAGGCTAAGTCTTTCAACTTTGTTCTTCTTTATAGTTGTCTTGGTTAGTCCAGGCCCTTGCATTTCCGTCTTACAAGCAGCTTTCAGTTTGTACACACACACACACACACACACACACACACAGAATTTGTCTTCATTATTTATTTTTGTCTCAGAAAATGTCACTTCTCCCAAAAAGTTGAACTCTTTTTGTGCCCTCAATGTTATTCTCACACGCTAATCTTGGACATCCAAGAATCATCATCTCATTGTCTTTTTCTATTTATTAACTGACAGATAAAAATTACTTAGAGTTATCATGTATATGCTTTGTAAAATATATACACATTGTGGAGTGGCTAACTGAGTTAGTTAGCATAGCCATCATCTCACCTACTTACCTTCTTTCTTGGTAGGGGAACACTTAAAATCTGTGTCATTTTCAAGAATGCAATATATTCTTTTTTTTTTTTTATGAGCATAAATTCCCAAAGTACAGCTTATGGACCACAATAGCCTCCTCCCCCCCGTATCTTCCCTCCCACCCACAACGCTCCCCTCTCCCACTCCCTCTCCCCTTCCCCTTCACATCATGATTAATTTTCAATTATCTTTATATACCGAAGATCAATTTAGCATATGTTAAGTAAAGATTTCCACATTTTGCTCCCACACAGAAACACAAAGTGTAAAATACTATTTGAGTACTAGTTATAGCATTAATTAAACACCTAAAAGTAATTGTGTATTAATTACAGAGTTCAACCAATAGTTTTAAGTAGAATATAAAATGCATCTTTTGTATTGTTGTGTCTCCCCCACCCCGACCTCCCTCCCTCCCGTGGCCCTCCCCTCACCCACTCCCTCTCCCATCCCGCCCTTCATCACGTTTCATTTTCAATTACCTTCATATATTGAAGATCAAACTTAGTATGTACTAAGCAGGGATTTCAACAGGTTGCACTCACACAACCGAACCAGGTATAGGGTATTGTTCGACTAGTAGTGTTGTTTTTGAGTTTCATAGTTAAACATATTAAGGACAGAGATCCTGCGTGGGGAGCATGTACCCAGTGACTCCCGTTGTTGATTTAACAATTGGCACTCTTATTTATGATGTCAGCAATCACCCGAGACTCTTGCTATGAGCTGTCTAGGCTATGGAAGCCCCTTGAGTTCAGCAACTCTGAATTTGTTTAGTCAAGGCCATATCACAGTGGAGGTTCCTTCCTCCCTTCAGAGAAAGGCACCTCTCTCCTTGATGGCCTGATCCTTCTGCTGGGGTGTTGTTCACCAGGATCCTTCATTTAGATTGTTTTTTGCCACCGTGTCATGGCTTTCCATGCCTGTGAGACTCTCATGGACCTTTTAGTCAGATCCGAATGTCCCAAGGGTTGATTCTGAGGCAGGAGTGCTGTTTTGGGCATTTGCCATTCTATGAGTCTGCTGTGTGTTCTGCTTCCCCCGCAGGATCATTCTCTCCCTTTTGATTCTATCTTTCATTATTACGCAATATATTCTTATTAACTACATTCACCATGTTGCCTATCAGGGCTCTCAAACTTTCTCCTCCCGTCTAACACTAATTTTGTATCTGTAAATCTCATTCTTGTTTCTTCAATCTTTCACTCTTTGTTGAGTTACTCCTTGGCCTACACACATGGCCAATTGTTTATTTTCTGCCTGAGCCAAACAAACAAAATAGAGTATTTTTCAAACTTAGTTACCTTGCATAAACCATCCTCTAACTTTGCCACCTAACACAATCACATGTATGTTAATTATAAAATTCCTATCATACAAAATCAGAAAATTTAAAAAACGGCCCATTGCCCAACCACTCAAAGACAATTATAATTTTATATATTTCCTCATAATATCTTTATACGTACAGATTTCCCCATCTTAATTATTTTTAATGACTGTATTACATTCAGTAGACGACATGTACCCTAGTTTTTAAAACAATAATACATTCAGAAGTGGCACTTGCTTTTTCAGTCTTACAAATATTTTATAATTTTAGTCTTATAAATATTTTAGTCTTATAAATGTTACTATTAACATCCTTTTTCATGTAGCTTTTCCTTTCTTTTTTATATAAAAAGATTTATTTATTTATTTGAAAGTCAGAGTTACACAGAGAGAGGAGAGGCAGAGAGAGAGAGAGAGAGAGAGAGAGAGAGGTCTTCCATCCACTGGTTCGTCCTTCCTTCCTTCCTTCCTTCCTTCCCTCCCTTCTCTCTCTCTCTTTCTCTCTTTTTCTTTTTTTCTTTCCCTCCCTCCCTCCCTCCCTTCCTCCCCTCCTCCCTCCCTCCCTTCCTTTCTTTTTCTTCCTTTTCTTTTTTTATTAGAATTTTAATTTATTAGTTTATTTTATGTTATTTGAAAAGTAGAGAAGAGAGAGCAAACACACACACACACACACACACACACACGGGGGGGGGGGGGAGGGCAAACAGAGATTTCCCATCCCCTAGCTCCTGCAGCCAGGAGCCAGGAACCCAATCCAGGATCCCACATGGGGAACAGGGACCCAAGCACTTGAGCCATCACCTGGTGCCTCTGAGGGTGCATATTAGCAGGAAGGTGGAATCAGGAGCGGAGATGGGACTCAGACCCAAGCACTCTGGTACGCGGTGCGGGCATCCTAAGCGGTGTTGCTCAACGGCTTTTTGGCTGGAACTGCATAGCATGGCTCTCTTGCTTCCCAGTCCACTGTGCAGATTTTGGATTTACCAGCCTCCATAACTGTGTGAACCAATTCTTCCTGATAAATCATACACATATAGAATATTAATATGAATTTTGTTTTAAACATGAGGAATTTTAGGGTATGTGAATGACGTATTTATAAAGAATTAATTACTAACATAGTAAAAAAAAAAGATGAATGTTTTAGACATACTGAGGGAAGAAAAAAAAGTCCAGACACAAAAACATATGTATGGTATGATTCTGTACATATCAATTTCAATACAGAAATCAGAAAACTGACTACCTTTGTAGTGGTACAGGATGAGGTGTATTGGCTGGAAGGGGTCATGAGGGTCCCAACTGGGGTTCTAGAAATGTTCCACTTCTCTATCTGAATGATGGTTTGGATTTATACACTCAAAATTTTATTGAACCATACACTAACTTCAGGTGTGATTTATGGCATTTTACTAAATGTACTTTGTACTTTGACAAAAATGTAAAAGCAAACCAAAGAAGGGGTAAGGATGGGTGGTCACATACAGAAATTTAAGCTAAGGAAAAGAGGGATAGTAGAGAGATCATGGGGCTTCTCACTTTTCAGAGATGTGGAAACCAGCATCGCAAACTACTGTTACTGGCAATAACAACGTAACTGAGCAGCTGAAGAGACACAGAGTTCAGGAGAGGAGCTCAGGAGAGCTGGGGGCCCAGGAGAGGAGGCGATCATGCAACAGGTGTCTTGGAGATGCTGTTCAGCTGAACCTGAGGAAGGGATGAGATTTCAAAAGACAGAGAAGAGCAGAGGGCGTTCCAGCCGTATGTGACCTCAGGAGCAACAGCATAGAGTCAGAAAAGCAGAGTGTGTCTGGGGCCCTTTGAGTAGCTTGGTTATTCCTGAATTCTAGGAAAAACGTTGCATAGTGGCAGGAGGCAACACAAAAAAAGGGAGCAACATGAAGTGATTTTGGAGGCTAGTGGAATACCATTCAAGTTTTATGAGCAACAGGATGTAACTGGATCCCTACCTCATTTATCTAAGGGAGAGAGGTGGGCAGACCATAACAATTGTCACTGCACGGAAGTATAGAGAACCTGAACAAACTCGTGCCGATGAAAAGGAAGAGTCGGAAGCATGAGTATTTTCTGTGATAGAGTATTTTCCTTTCTGTCGCCTTAAGCCCATGAAAGAAACTAGAGGGAAGGTGAAGGCGAAAAAGCATCAAAGATGATGTGGCCTTGAGCCTAGATGTTGGCGAATTGTCATCCTGTTGACAGAAACCATGAAGTTACACAGAGAAACTGCTGTTGATGGGAATGAGGCTTAGATTTTTCATTTGTTAAGCAATTATTTAGTTGTCCTGGGAAACCTCTCAAGACTTCTGCTGTCATTCAGATGTATAAGGAGGAGAGGTCAAAACTAAGAGGGAGGCTGGTGCCGCGGCTCACTAGGCTAATCCTCTGCCTTGCAGCACCAGCACTCCAGGTTCTAGTCCCGGTCGGGGCACCGGATTCTGTCCCGGTTGCCCCTCTTCCAGGCCAGCTCTCTGCTATGGCCAGGGAGTGCAGTGGAGGATGGCCCAAGTGCTTGGGCCCTGCACCCCATGGGAGACCAGGAGAAGCACCTGGCTCCTGCCTTCGGATCAGCGCGGTGCGCCGGCCGCGGCGGCCATTGGAGGGTGAACCAACGGCAAAAGGAAGACATTTCTCTCTGTCTCTCTCTCTCTCACTGTCCACTCTGCCTATCAAAAGCAAAAAAACAAAACAAAACAAAAACTAAGAGGGAACATAAACGGTCAAGGAATGTATAAAAATATTTCATTCCCAGGGCCAGCACTGTGGCATAGTGGGTAAAGCCACTGCCTGCAGTACCAGGATCCCATATGGGTACTGGTTTAAGCCCCGGCTGTTCTGCTTCCAATCCAGCTCTCTGCTATGGCCTGGGAAAGCAGTAGAAGATGGCCCAAGTCCTTGGGCCCCTGCACCTGCGTGAGAGACCTGGAAGAAGCTCCTGGCTCCTGGCTTCAGATCAGCACAGCTCCAGCCATTGTGACCAACTGGGGAGTGAACCAGCAGATGGAAGACCTCTGTCTCTCTCTGCCTCTCCTCTCTTTGTGTAACTCTACCTTTCAAATAAATAAATAAATAAATCTTTAAATTTTCAGTTTCACTGGCAATAAAGTAAAAGCAAATTTAACAGCAAAAAAAAGGAGATATCATTTTTCCAGCTTATCATGTAAGGATTGAAAAGAGAAACTGTTTAGAAATAAACTTAAGAAAAATATAGGATTTGGGGGCTGGCATTGTGGTGTAGCATGTAAAGCCACCACCTGTGATACTGGCATCCCTGATAATGGTCTAGGAAAAACAGTGGAAGATGGCTCAGGTTTCTGGGACCCTTCTACCCACATAGGAGACCCAGATGAGGTTTCTGGCTCCTGGCTTTGGCCTGGCCCAGCCCTGGCCATTGCAGCTATCTGGGGAGTGAACCAACAGATAGAAGATCTCTCGCTCGCTCTCTCTTTCGCTCGCTCTCTCTCTCTCTCTCCATCTGTAACTCTGGCTTTTAAAAAATTACATCTTGGCCAGCACCGCGGCTCAATAGCCTAATCCTCTGCCTGCGGTGCCGGCACACTGGGTTCTAGTGCTGGTCAGGGCACCGGATTCTGTCCCGGTTGCTCCTCTTCCAGTCAAGCTCTCTGCTGTGGCCCGGAAAGGCAGTGGAGGATGGCCCAAGTGCTTGGGCCCTGCGCCCGCATGGGAGACCAGGAGAAACACCTGGCTCCTGGCTTCGGATCAGCACGATGCGCCGGCTGTATTGGCCATTTGGGGGATGAAGCAACGGAAGGAAGACCTTTCTCTCTGTCTTTCTCTCACTGTCCACTCTGCCTGTCAAAAAAATTACATCTTAAAATAATACAGAATTTATAAGAAGAAATCTTAAAACTTGACTGAAGGGCATAAAGAAAGCTGGAGAAAATAGAGAATTAATGAATACTTGGGTGGGAAGATTCAATATTTTGAAGATGAAAACTGCCCTCAAGCTTGTAAATTTAACTCTATCACAATCAAAAGTTGACAAAGTGAGTTTAAAGTGTATCTGGATATTTTACTAAGTGAAACAAAATAAGCAATTTGCAAAACAAGTGTGTATAAGATGTGTGAGGATTTGTGTGAAGAAAGGAGAAATCACACACACACACCGACACACACACAGTAGGAAAAATGTGGCAACTGAGATAAAAGGAAGAAAAAGATATTGTTTTGTCCACTGTTCTCTTTCTGATTTTAAAAATGTGGACACATTTTATATTAAAATTAATGAAATCAATTGAGAGGAATAAATAGAACAGTTTTTTTTAAGGGAGGGATAATCAAAGGTTAATAATAATTGGGTGAGATAGCTATGACATATTCTACTAGAACAAATGCCTGTTACGAGGGTTAAATGAAAAAGTGTTCACAACAGTTCTTGGCACACAACTGTTACAAAATATTTGAAAATTATTTTATAATCTTGATGTGAGAACCGTGTGGTTAAAATGTAATCTATCATAAAGAATACACTTGGGGGCTGGCACTGTGGTGTAGTGGGTAAAGCTGCTGCCTGCAGTGCCGGCATCTCACATGGGTGCCCGTTCGAGTCCTGGCTGCTCCACTTCTGATCCAACTCTCTGCTATGGCCTGGGAGAGCAGAAGATGGCCCGAGCCCTTTGGCCCCTGCACCCTTGTGGGGGACCCTGAGGAAGCTCAAGGCTCCTGGTTTTGGATCGACTCAGCTCCGGCTGTTGCGGCCATCTGGGGGAGTGAACCACTAGTGGGTGGAATACTTTCTCTCTCTCTGTAACTCTGCCTTTCTTTTCTTTCTTCCTTCCTTCCTTCCTTCCTTCCTTCCTTCCTTCCTTCCTTCCTTCCTTCCTTCCTTCCTTCCTTCCTTCCTTTCTTCCTTCCTTCCTTCCTTCCTTCCTTCCTTTTTAAGATTTATTCATTTATTTGAAAGAGTTACACAGAGAGAGGAGAGGCAGAGAGAGAGGGGGGTCTTTCATCTGCTCGTTCACTCCCCAGATGGCTGCATTGGCTGGAGCTGTGCTGATCTGAAGCCAGGAGCCAGGAGCTTCCTCTGGGTCTCCCATATGCGTGCAGGGGCCCAAGGACTTGGACTATCTTCTGCTGCTTTCCCAGGCCACAGCAGAGAACTGGATTGGAAGTGGAGCAGTCGGGTCTCGAACCGGCAGCCATATGGGATGCCAGGGTGCTTCAGGCCAGGGTGTTAACCTGCTGTGCCACAGCGCCGGCCCCTGCCTTTCAAATAAATAAATAATTTTTTTAAAAAAAGAATATACTGATAGATTTTTTGACAACATGAAGTTTAAAAACTTTTGAATGGGAAAAAATTTTAAAAATATGAAAAGACTCGCAATAAAGTGGGAAATGTTAGCTACAACAAATAGGATGAGGAACTCAGTTATTCCACAGGTATCTTTTGAGTATCTGCCCTGAGATGGTCATTGCATCATAGTCTGGTTGCAGCGTAAGGAAGAAGATGGTTCTGGCTCTTATGGAATCTACAGTCCTGAGTGGTTAAGAGTTAACACACTAACATAGGAAAAGTTTTAAAAAATCAGAAGGAAGAAAATAACCCAACAGGCCAACAGGAGATGGGCAAAAGGGAAAAAAAATGTTGTTATTGATCAAAAACATAGGAAAACAAATTCAGTCTCCATAATCAAATTTCACTTGAACAAAATTAAAAGATTCATTTATATATTTGTTTGTTTGGTAAAGACAAGCCCCGCTGTTGGCATAGCGGAGACAGAAGCATTCTCATATCCTGGGAGTGGGAGTATAATTGGGATAAGCTTCCTGCGAGGCTGCTTAACAACTTGTGTTGGAATTTTAAATATGCAAACTGTTTGACCTAGTGAGTCCATCCCTAGGAAGAAATAATTGGACATATATTTGAAGACGCAAAACCAAGGATGTTTACATCAACATTCCTTATAATAGTTTAAAAGAGGAACAAACATAATTCATCTTGACAGATCGTGAATTAAATTATACAGTCCACTTACAATAGAATATGTCGAATATGGCCTATGAGGCAATGCTTGAAAAGATAGTGGAGCTCTGGATGTCACAAAATTATATTAAGTGAAGAAGTTATGTGGATTTTATGACAGTATTAAAAAAACCTCTAATCCCATTTTTTTAAAAAAAGATTTTATTATTTAATTGAGAGTTAGAGTTACAGAGAGGGGGAGAGACAGAGAGAAAGGTCTTCCATCCTCTGGTTCACTTCCCAAATGGCCGCAACAGCCAGAGCTGTACTGATCCGAAGCCAGGAGCCAGAAGCTTCTTCCTGGTCTCCCACGTGGGTGCGGGGGCCCAAGCACTTGGAGCATTTTCCACTGCTTTCCCGGGCAATAGCAGAGAGCTGGATCAGAAGTGGAGCAGCTGGGACACGAACTGGTGCCCGTATAGGATGCTGGTGCTGCAGAGGGAAGCTTAGCTCTTACTATGCTACAGCAACAGCCACTCTGATCCCATTTTAAAATGTAGATATAGATAAAAACTTGGAGAGTGGGGTTAAAAATCATAACACAGATTATCTCTGGCTGGTGACATTAGGTATGATCTTTATTTTCTGCTTTTTACCTTTTTTTGGTGGTATTTTCTGGAATTTTTTTTTTTGACAGCCAGAGTGGACAGTGAGAGAGAGAGAGAGAGAGAGAGAGAGAGAGAGAGAAAGGTCTTCCTTTTCCATTGGTTCACCCCACAATGGCCACTGTGGCCGGCACACCGCACTGATCCGAAGCCAGGAGCCAGGTGCTTCCTCCTGGTCTCCCACGCAGGTGCAGGGCCCAAGGACTTGGGCCATCCTCCACTGCCTTCCCGGGCCACAGCAGAGGGCTTGACTGGAAGAGGAGCAACTGGGACAGAATCCGGTGCCCCGACTGGGACTAGAACCCGGGGTGCCGGCGCTGCGGGCATAGGATTAGCCTATTGAGCCGCAGCGCCGGCCTATTTTCTGAATTTTTAGCAATGAATATATTACTTATAGATCAAAAAATGAAATAAAGCTATTCAAAAGTTGGTTCATAAATACTTTTTTTTTCCCCAAAAAAATTCCTTTGGGAATAACCTTTGTTTAACCACAGCCATGGTAACTGAAATTTTTCTCATTAGGATTCTCAGGTTTTATGCATTCATATTTTTCCCCGTCCTAAGTTAGTAAGGAAACCTTTGTAAATAATAAAATATTTCAAGAATTTGGAACAAAATGACAGTCACAGAGTACTGACCTCATTTCCACGATGGTTCAAAGAATTGGAGAAAAAGAAGACACACAAAAAACGCAGAGCCGGGAGGGCCGCTTTGAGGCAGGTTCCTTGCAGGGGTGGGGGTGTCATAGAACAGAAGAAAGGGGGGACCTCTTCCTCCTCCTCTTCCTGGGGTTGCCATTGCCTTAACCGTGTCTGAAACGTCCCTCATTTCCACACATGGCAGGCCAGAGAGCGAATCCCTCATCCCTATCATTCTCCTCCCATCCTGATTGAACCTCAGCCTATGTGAATACCAAGTTCTCTTGGCTCTGCGACCATTACTGTGCTGAGGTGGCTAAACTGCCCCCAGCTCAACCCCATCTTTGCGCAGGGGCCTACTGCTTATCGTATTTGCAGCAGAATGGCTCAGTGACTCACAATGCTACCCATCCGTGAACAGAAAATAACTGTGTCTCGGCCTCAGCTCTTGGGGCCAGACGAGGGAGCAGACTCAGAGGACGACGGGGTTATTGTAAGGAATCTGTGAGTTCATTCAGGTCCCAAGGAGAGTCTGGAAACCAAACAGGCAAAAATGTAATTACTGCTGTGCGGAGACCCACATTTTCAAACAGTTAGCTGAAGAAGGAGTTCTTATTCTCAAAGAACTTGCAAACCACAAAATGGGGACAATAAACTTGGTGTGAGCTTCCGTGCCTTCCTATCCCTGGGTCTGCAGTTTCTTCTCGCCACCCTCACCCCCACTTTCTTGCCCAGTTGAACCCAACAGGAGGCTGGCAGTAAGTTTTCAGTGAGATGGTTCAGTACAGATCTGTAACATAGCTCCTTCCCTCTGCCTCTTCCTTCTCTGAGAGCAAAATTTCCAAATATGAAAACAGACTTG